CTATAGGTAAGAAGGTATATGACTAAAGCGGCTTAGCACACAGCACAGAAGGAGGTATACTCTCTTTGAGCAAAAGATTCTTGTTCATGGAAAATGACTCAGATTAATGTCTCACAAGTGTAGAACCATTCATTTCTGGTGAGGGACGGAATCTCTAAGCAACCATGAAAAATGTCAGTATTATTACTGAGTTTGTCCTTCTGGGATTGTCCAGTGACCCCCAGATCCAGACCGTGCTCTTTGTGCTGTTCCTGGGGATTTACCTGCTGACATTAGTGGGGAACACAGTGATGATCCTGATCATCAAAGCTGATTCTCGGCTCCACACACCCATGTACTTCTTCCTCGGACACCTGTCTTTTCTGGATCTCAGTTTCTCCTCAGTCACTGTGCCCAAAATGCTACAGAACTTCTTGTCGCAGAAGAAAAGCATCTCAGTGTGGGGCTGCATCACCCAGAGTTTCTTTTTCACTCTCTCAGGGGGGACAGAAGCCTGTCTTCTCTCCGCCATGGCCTACGACCGCTATGCTGCTATCTGCCACCCTCTGGTCTACACTGTGCTCATAAACAGACCTCTCTGCACTGGGATTGTGAGCATAGCTTGGGCAGTGGGGTTTTCTATTTCCTTGATGAATAGTCTCCTCATTCACAAGCTACATTTCTGTGGTTCCAACATCATCTCCCACTTCAGTTGTGAGCTACCTCCACTCTTCCCTCTGTCTTGTACTGATCCCACTGTCAACGAGATTCTTCTGGCTGTGTCATGTACATCTTTAGGGCTGCTGACACTTCCCCCGATCCTCTTTTCTTACTCAAGAATCATTTCTGCCATACTGAGTATCCGCTCCTCTGAGGGCCAAGGCAAGGCCTTCTCCACCTGTTCCTCCCACCTCACTGTGGTGCTCCTGTTCTATGGGACGGCTCTGTTCAGGTACATCAGCCCTGACTCAGGCTCAGTGTTGGAGCAAGTGGTCTCCATTCAGTACAGTGTGATCACATCCTTGCTGAACCCCCTTATCTACAGCCTCAAGAACCAGGAGGTAAAAACAGCTCTACTGCGAATGCTGAGGCAACAGAAGTGTGCCAGCAGGTAAGAGAAAGCTTCTGATCAGGAAAGAGAAAATGTATCTCTAAAGGAGAAAGATGTTTACAGGCACAGAGCATTTGAGGGGAAATTGAATTTCAGTTATATTTAACTATTTGTTTCGATTTTGAAGTAAATAAGCTGCCAAAAAAAAGAGAGGAGGGGGCTGGGGGAAAAAGAGCTTGATGTACACGTTCCTATCCAGGAGCCCTTTGCAAAATAATCAGAGAGAGACCTTCATAACTCTCTCATAGCTTCCCTCATATGAGGGGATTCCCTCATAGCTCATTGGTAAAGAATCCATCTGCAATGCAGGAGACCCTGGTTCANCTCCAGTAGTTTTGCCTGGAGAATCTCATGGATGGAGGAGCCTGGTAGGCTACAATCCACAGGGTCGCAAAGAGTCGGACACGACTGAGCGACTTCACTTCACTTCAGCAAAGAAGACTTCCTGGGTATCATCCAACTGCTAAGGCTAAAATGGAACAAAACAGGGTGAGTGTGCTTTCTCTGCCCAATATCCAAATATTGATGCTTCCAGTTCTTGGACCTTCAGACTAAAGCTGGGACTTCTCTCACTAGCTCCCTTGGTTCTTAAACCTTCAGTTTAAATTAGAATTACAACACTGTCTTTCCTTGGCCTCTGTCTTGCAGATGGCAAATCTCAGCTTCCATAATTGTGTGAGCCAATGTCTCACAATAAATCTCTTCTACATATCTATATGTTTATGTATATAGTCTATCAGTTCTGTTTTTTTAGGAAAATTGTGACCAATATGCAGGAAAATGTGAAAAAAATTAAATTATTCTCATATTAGAAATCCATGTATCATGCCTATCTTATTTTTCCTAAGCTTTCTTGCCTAAGATCTTATGTTTAAAAAATACAGCATGTGCATTTGATCCAGGTACATATTGTATAACAGTATATGGAGTAGGGGGTACGCATGAATAATTATAGGAGTAAAATTAAAAGGCCAATAAGGCACCCCTTTGCATCTATATAATTAATAAACAAATACATAATAGCAGCCTATTGAGAAACATTAATGAAGACCTAAATAGAAAGTAATATATCATGCTTATAAATGGTAGATGATTTTAAAAATGTCAGTTGTTCCCAAATCATTTATATATTTAGTCTGTTGTTGTTGTTTTAGTTGCTACATCGTGTTCAACTCTTTTGTGACCCTATGGACTGTAGCCTGCCATGCTCCTCTGTCCACAGGATTTTTCAGGCAAGAATACTGGAGTGGGATTGCCATTTCCTTCTCCAGGAATCAAATCCACATCTCCTGCGTTGGCAGGCAGATTCTTTACCACTGAGCCACCAGAGAATATTTTTAGCATAATTTCTAATAGTATAATAGTATAATTTCTAAAATTTCTAAAATTTCTAAAATACCATATTTTTAGTATAATTTCAATTAAAATTCCAGAACAATTTTTTATTAATTTGAAAAGTTGATTCTAAAATGTATGCAAAAGTAAACAACTCAACAAAGGCCAAATTAAGAAGAATAAGACATCAAGATTTATCATAAAACTATGTAATTAAAACTTTATATTACTGACAAATAAACAAATACGCTAATGGAAAAGAGAACTCAGAAATGGACCCCAAACTCAGAAGTAAACACTGAGATGGCAAGGTAGATCAACTCATTGAGGGTGTACTTTTCAATCAATACTGCTGGGATGATTAGCTCTTCATGTAAAAAATTAATAAAATTTTATCTTCACCCAGCATAAGCAAAAAACAGTCCCAGTCAAAGTATTATATGTGAAAGGCAAAACTAAAAATCTTTTATAACATAATGTAGGACAATATATTCATGGCAGAGGAGGATTTTTAAAAACCAGATATGAAAAGTACTATAATCTCAGATATGCAGATGACACCACCCTTATTGGCAGAAAGCAAAGAAGAACTAAAGAGCCTCTTGATGAATGTGAAAGAGGAAAGCGAAAGGGTTGGCTTAAAACTAAACATTCAGAAAACTAAGATCATGGCATCCAGTCCCATCACTTCATGGCAAAGAGATGGAGAAACAGTGGAAACAGTGGCAGACTTTATTTTTGGGGGGCTCCAAAATCACTGCAGATGGTGACTGCAGCCATGAAATTAAAAGACGCTTACTCCTTGGAAGGAAAGTTATGACCAACCTAGACAGCATATTAAAAAGCAGAGACATTACTTTGCCAACAAAGGTCCATCTAGTCAAGGCTATGGTTTTTCCAGTGGTCATGTATGGATGTGAGAGTTGGACTGTGAAGAAAGCTGAGCGCCGAAGAATTGATGCTTTTGAACTGTGGTGTTGGAGAAGACTCTTGAGAGTCCCTTGGACAGCAAGGAGATCCAAGCAGTCCATCCTAAAGGAAATCAGTCCTGAATATTCATTGGAAGGACTGATGCTGAAGCTGAAATGCCAATACTTTGGTCACCTGATGTGAAGAACTGACTTATTTGAAAAGAACATGAGTTTGAGTAAACTCCGGGAATTGGCAATGGACAAGGAGGACTGGCATGCTGCAGTCCATGAGATCACAAAGAGTTGGACACGACTGAGCAACTGAACTGAACTGAACTGAACTGCCAAAAAATGTTGATAAATGTAATTCTATTAAGATTATATTATAATTAATTATAATCACATTAAGATTGTTAATATTATTAATAATTATATTAAGATTATTAATTAAATTAAGATCCACTAATCTTCCCAATGGAAACAGGAAATGGCAATCCACTCCAGTATTCTTTCCTGGAAAATTCCATGGACAGAGAAGCCTGGAGGGTTTCAGTCCATGAAACTGCAAAAGTCAGACATGACTGAGCAGACATGCATACGTTATGTATGTATGAAGTGAATACAACCAAAGAAAATGAATAAACATTTCCACACCAAGTAGCATGGATCAACCTTAGATATAATATTGTACAAAATGTTACATGAAACTATTTCATTCATATAAAGTTCAAATAAAGGCAAACAGGACTATATTATTTAGGGATGCATGTATAAATGGTAAAACTACAAAGAAAGTAAGGAAATCAGTAAGAATGTTAGGGCAACCTGTGTTAGTACTAAGAGAAGGGACAGGGCTCCTGTAGCAGAGTGATGTACATTCCCAGTGCTGGCAATGTACTATTTCTTAACCTTTAAATTTTTTTCTTATATAGTGATCACATAGATCTTTGCTTTATTAAGTAATTGTTAAGTTATACACAAATGTTACATGGAATTTTTAGTAAACATGGTAATTTTAATTTCTTGGATAAACTATAAATAGTGAAAAATGAAGTGATTTCTATTAAAACCAGAAACCAAGCAGACATGCCTGTTTTCTCCACTGTTTCCTTACATTGTTTTGAAATTTATAACTATGATAATAAGACATGAAGAGGAAATACTTAAAATAATTATAAAATACCAAATTACTTATTTTGTATACAGATGATATGATTCTTAGACTCAATAGGCTGACATGAAGGGAAGAATGAGAATTAATAAGAGAAATTAAGTTGACAATACAAAAAATAAACACACACAAAGTTTATTACTATCCTATCAAAAACCAATTTGAATTGAAAGTGGAAAAAAAAATCCATTCACATTATCAACAAAATCATAAAACAACTAGTAATAAATTTAACCAAAAAATACAGAATTTATATGACTAAAACTATATTTAGTCATAAAACAATATCTGAATAAAAATTTCTTTTAAAAAAAGTTTGTAGAATGTTGGGGTCCTTTAATGGACTGGAACCTGGTGGTCCAGAGTCAACGATAAGAAAGTGAAAGAAGGAAAGAGGCTAATATTCCCTGGGTTACGCAGCCAGCCTTCGCGCTCCAGGGAATCAGCCAGAAATAGAGAGAGAGAGAGAGAAGGAAGGACATGGGGACCCCAGTCTGGTGGAACAAGGGTGCTTTATTGAATTTTGTGTGAGTATACATACCGTTTTACAAGGTAGCTTCTTCAGATAAAGATCAAAAGACCAGAAATTAAGTTACCAAGGAAACAAGGAGCAATAGAGGCCACAATGCCAAAAGGCAACCCATATCAAAAGAGGGTCACAGATAATCCCTTTCAGCATATGGAAAAGCTAATGAAGGAAATCCTATACAAGCATCCCATCACAGAGATCTCAGTCCTGGGAGTGGCTTATCTGCTCCTCTCCCTCCTGACAGGAACTGATGAGGAACAGAGGGCTCAAGAGAGATAGGAAACAGCGCACAGGAGTCTTACTGTTAAACATTCCCTGACAGACAGCCTCCAGAGTCCTCAGAGGGAAATGACTAGCCAGGTAGCTGCTGTTCTTCTCCTTCTGGAAAACTGAAGGGCGGAATCCCAGAGGGGGGTGTGGCTGGGTGGGACTGCAGGGACTCACCTGGAGAAGGGGAGGTGATCTGTGCAGCTGCAAGAAGGAGGAAGCATGGTTAGCCTGAGCACCCAGGTTGGAATGCAAAAAACCCATCAGGTCCCTGAGAGAGAGACGCTGAGTGCCCAGACCCTCCATGGCCTGAAAAAAAAACGGCCTGGGTATTGTCCAGGAGAAATGAATATGAAATATCAAGGTCAGACATCAGACTCCACAATTTAAAAAAGTCTGAGGGGAATTTGCTCTCCCAACCTATAATCACACCCCTGCTCTGGGGGTCCAATACAGAAGGGGCTGCAGTGGATCCATGAAATCCGGGACTGACATCTATCAATGATGGAGTCAGTGAAACCACCCAACTTCCATGGAAGCTCAGTGTGATTGCGCCCAGTGCAAAGAAGAGCTCTTGTTTGGGAGAAAATCACTCACAAAAATGCAGGTCATAGAAACCAACCTGAGCAGATGACGCTGGCGTCCTCATGGTGTCCACAGTTGTGTGTGTTCCAGGGGTTGTGGGAGCAGCTCCACAGGTAAGTCTCATGCCCCGAGCAGCCCACTTCGTCCAGGACAATGGGCCCTGAGCCCTGCCCGAACCNAAAAATAAATAAATAAATAAAATAACAAAGTATCATTGTGAATTTTTCCATTTCTCCTTTCAACTCTATCAGTTTTTCTTTCATTATTGTAAATCTCTGTTGTGTCTTCTTAGAAAATTGATTTTGTTATTATTATGAAGTGTCCTTATTTATCCCTAGTAGTATGGCTTGTTCTGAAGTCTGCTTTGCCCTAGATTTCTATAATCCCTTCTGCTTTCTTACAGTTGTATATAAAGATATGTCCTTTCCCATCCCTTTACTTTTAAACTAAGGCAACGTCCACCATTGTTAATGAGAGTGCGCCCACATAGAGGGAACAGAGCTGACTCGAACTCCATACCTGCCTCTGACCAGGGCAGAAGCAACCATTTCCAATGTATGTGTCCCTGCCCACATTTGGGAGAAATAAAACTACCTCTAGGGTGGAGATCACCAAAGCCTGTAGGAGCAAAACCAGCTCAACAGTGTGGTACCAGGTGCTGTGGCCCCAAACATGTCTAATGCACACACACTAGGGGAAAAGTGAAACCAGCATAGAAATATAGTCCTTCAGGCCACAGCCATGACCCTAACCAAGGCAAAGACTACCATCACACCAAGGAGAAATACAACTCACGCAGAGCTTCTGCTTCAACACCTTGGGCCCCAAACTTGCGTCCAACAGAGTGGAAATAGTCAATCAACACAGGAAAAGTTCTGGTTAAACTTGGCTCTGGCTCTATCCCTTTCAACTCCACCCCTACTTCCCATACCAAGGTGGTGGCTCCCTACAGAACCCAAGGTAAGATGTGACCCATGTTCACTTTAGAACCAGCTCTCCCACCAAAGCCACTGGACACATGCAGATGACATAGGGATGCTCCCACACAAGGAAATGACTTCATGACTGAAATAGGTAACTGCTTCACCTAATTTTGTAATGACAGAGAAAGTAAAAACAAAATGAGAAGACAAAACAATATTTTTCAAACAAAAAAACAAGAAAAACACCCTAATGTAACAACCCAGGTCTCCCACATTGCAGGCAGATTCTTTACCAGCTGAAACAACAGGGAAACCCTAATCTAACAAAGATAAATAATTTATCTGATAAAGAATTCAAAGCAAAAATGATAATAATGCTAACTGAACTTGGGAAAAGAATAAATAAACATAGCAAGAATTTTAATAAAGAACTAGAAAATATTTTAAAAGAGGCAGTCAGAGCTGAAGAATAGTCGAAATAAAAAAATCATACTAGAGGGAACTAACAGTAAATTAAATGAAAGAATACAGAAGTGACCTAGAAGATAAAATATTAGAAACAACAAAAAAAGAAGAACAGCAAAAAGAAAAGCAAATTTTTAAAAGTAAGGATAGTTTAAGGGACCTCTATAACAGTATCAAACATACTCCAAGAAGGGGAAGAGAGAAAAAAGGGGTAGAAAACATATTTGATAAAATTATAGTTGAACATTTCATGAACCTAAAGAAACAGATGTCCAGTACAGGAAGTAAAGAGAGTTCCAAAGAAGATGAAATCAAAAGACTCACACTAAGATAGATCATAATTAGAACAGCAAAAGCTAAAGATATAATTTTAAAGGAAGTAAGAAAAACACAAAGGGTCACATACAAAGGAACACCCTCAAGGTTATCAGCTGACTTCTGCAGAAACTCTGCAGGCCAAAAGGGGGTGGAATAATATATTTAAAGTGCTGAAAGAGAAAAACGTATATATAGATCATCTAGACAGAAAATCAATATGAAAACAATGGCTTTAAACGACACATTAGATCAGTTGGACTTAATAGACATTTATGGCACATTCCAGGCTGCCCTAGAAGCTTAGCTGGTAAAAAACCACCTGCCAATGCAGGAGACACAGGAGATTCAGGCTCAGTCCTTGGATTGGGAAGATCCCCTGGAGAAGGAAATGGCAACCCACTCCAGTATTCTCACCTGGAAAATCCCTTGGACAGAGGAGCCTGGAGGGCTACAGTCCATGGAGTCACAAGAGTTGGACATGACTGAGCATGGGGCCTTCCATTCAAAAAACAGAAGAATACATATTTTTTCAAGTGCATATGGACCTTTCTCTGGGATACCTCATATGTTAAATCACAAAGCAAGTCTCAACAAATAGGATAGAAATTATATTGAGCACATTTTTCCAACTCCAACTGCATGAAACTAGAAATCAACCACAGGAAGAAAAATGAAAAAAATACAAATATGTGAAGATTAAACAATATGCTACTAAAAATGCCTAGGTCAATGAAGATATCAGGGGAAATTAAAAGATACCTTGAGACAAATGAAAATAAAAACACAAATTTCTCAGTCTACAGGATGCAGTAAAAGCAGTTCTAAAAGAGAAATTTATAGTGATATGAACATACCTAAAGAAACAGGAAAAATCTCAAAAAAACAACTTAAACCACCACCTAAATAAATTAGCAAAAGAAGAAAAAACAAAGCCCAAAGTCAGGGGAAGGAAGGAATAAGGGTCAGAGTGGAAATAAACAAAATAACTTTTTAAAGATCAGTGAAACCAAGAATTGGCTCTTTGGAAAGATAAACAACTGATGTTAAGGAAATTAAATCGAAGTAGTCTTGTTCAGGCTTCAGAGACACGAAAGCAGAGCAGGCCTCTGACCTTGCTTCTAACCTGCCTGGACACTGCCTTGACTACATGCCTGCTAGCAAGTGCAACCTGAGAGGAACTATAGATGAGATAAGGTGCAGGTCTTGGAATTCTTGAGCCCCCCAGAGGAAGTCAGGCCAAGCATACCCAGGACTTAATAAATTCCTATGACTCACAAGATAAAACAAATAGCATTGTAAAAAGATGAATGTGAAATCAGAATTTCAATTTGCTCACAAACTGACAATGATATCAGTTTGTAGCCAGGAATTATAAGCGGTACCCAAAAACTGCAATTTGAAGTCTCACTTGTGGAGCAGATGTGGTGCCCAGGACCTTTTCCCAATTGGGACTCCAGATTGCTGTTATATGGGACTTCCCAGTGCTGTTTGAGTCTAGATGCTGTTTGAGTCAATGCATTTTCTCTCCTCTACAGTTCCTATTTCTCTTTTCTTTTATTTATTGTATATTGAAGATAAATTAGGCAATTCTCTATTAAATATTGAAATTGTTTATTTGTGTATATCTTTTGCTAATGAATCCTTCAAACCTGAAGCGAAAGTTAAAACTTTTGGCAAAACAATTGATAAGCCTTTAGCCAGGCTCATCAATAAAAAGAGAGGACCCAAATAAAATAAGAAATAAAAGAGGATAAATTATAACCAATATCACAGAGATATAAATACTGCAAACAATGTAGTATTCATAAGAGCATACAACAAATAGTTACATACCAACAAACTGGACATACTAGAACAAATGGACAGATTCCTAGAAATATACAATCTTTCAAATCTCAACCAAGAAGAAATAAGTAATCTGGACAGACTGAGTACTAGTACTGAAATTGAATAAGTAATGAAAAACTTCCCAAGAAACAAAAGTCCAGGACCAGACAGCTTCACAGAGCAATTCTGCCAAACATGTAAAGAAGAGTTAATACTTATCCTTCTCAACTATTCGAAAGAAATTGGAGTGGACAGAACACTACCAAATTCATTCTATGAAGTTCCCATTACTCTAACACCACAATCAGACAAAGAAAATTATAGGCCAATATCCACAATTAATACACATGTAAAAATCTTCAACAATATATTAGCAAGCTGAATTCAACAATACACAGATCAAATCATACACCATGATAAAGTGGGATTTATTCCAAAGATGCAAGGATGGTGTAATATTCACAAATCAACAGTGTGATACACCCCATTAACAAACAAAGGATAAAAATCACATGGTCATCACAACTGACACAGTAAAAGCATTTGGCAAAACTCAACATCACACATGATATAAAACAAAAAACAAAAAACCTCTATACCCTCAACAAAGTTGGTACAGAGGAAACATACCTCAACATGATAAGTCCATCTATTACAAAACCAAGGCTAACATCATACTCAATGGTGAAAAGCTGAAAGTTTTTCCTCTAAAATCAGGAAAAAGACAAGGATGCCCATTCTCACAATTTTTATTTAATATAGAACTGGAAACCCTAGCCAGAGTAATCAGACAAGAAAAAGAAATACATGGCACCCAAATTAGAAGGAAAGAACTAAAACTATAACTATGTACAGATGACATGATGCTAAATATAGAAAACCTTAAAGTCTCTACCAAATTTATAAATGAATTTAGTAAATTTGTAGGATATAAAATTAATATACAGAAATCCATTGCTTCTCTATACACTAATGAAGAACTATCAAAAAGAGAAAGCAATAAAACAATCCCTTTCAAAATCACATCAAAAAGAAAAAAATATCTAGGGATAAACTTAATCAAGGAGATAAAAGAACTGTACTCTGAAAAATATAAGACATTAATGAAGGAAAGTAAAGATGATACAAATAAATGCAAAGATATCCCATGTTCATGAATTACAATTAGAAAAAAGTGATATTGTTAAAATGACTATATTACCCAAAACAATCTACAGATTTAATATAATCCCTACCAAAATACTCATGCCATATTCCACAGAACCAAAAAAATCCTAAAATTTATAGGAAACTGCAGAAGACCTCAACAGTCAAAGCAATCTTGAGAAAGAATAACAAAACTGAGGTATCACATTCCCTGACTTTAGACTAAACTATAAAGCTACAGTAATAAAAACAGTATGGTATAGGCACATGCACAGACACATAGATCAACAGAATAGAACAGAAATCCCAAAAATAAACCTATGCATTTATGATCAATCGATAACAAAGGTGGAAAAAATGGGGAAAAGACAGTCTCTTCACTAACTGGTGCTGGGTAAACTACACAGCTACATGTAATAGAATAAAATTAGGACATTTTATCATACTACATACAAAAATAAATACAAAATGGATTAAAGACCTAAATGTAAGA